GAAGTCCCACAGGATCTTAGCCCTCTTCACGACCTTCTGTGGAATCTACCATTTGGATTTGGGAGGGTCTAGTCCGTACACTGTGCAGATGTTCCTGTACACAATGCTAGCTACTTGGTTGTGCCATTCAGTGTATGCTGTTCCTGCCTGCATCTTACACCCTGCAATTATGTGTTGGACTGTCTCTGAGGCATCTCTATACTGTCTGCACCTTGGGTCCTGTCTAATGTGGTAGACCCCTGCTTCTATGGATATGGTGCTTAATGTCTATTCTTGTGCTGCTATGATCAGTGCCTCAGTGCTATATTTTCATCCAGCCCTTTCCAGCCACTAGTAAGATTTCCCAATGTCAGCTACCTCAGCTACCTGTTTATGGTATATCCCATATAGGGGCTTGTCTTGCCATGCCATTCCCTCTGCTTGAACTTCCTCCCATTCTCTCAGCAGCTCATCTTTGGATGCCATCTTACTGATATACTCCTGGATGCTCTGGGTTTTGTCCAGGACAGTGGCTTTGATACTCAACAGACGCTGCCCGCCTTCTTTCCTGCTAGTGTACAATCTCTGGGTGTTGGACTTGGGGTGGAAACCTCCATACATTGTGAGGAGATTCACATCAGCAGTCTCTGTGTCCTGCTTTGGCCAGCTCACTATACCAGCATGTATCTGATGACTGGCAGGGTGTACATGTTGATGGGGTGGATCTTGTTCTTCCCATTGAACTGGCTCTTCAGGATCTGTCTTATCCTTTGGTGGTGCTTGGATATTGCTGTCTTCCTTCACATGGTTCCCATGTGACTGTGGCATACCAAGATACTTGTAGCTGCTCTGCATCTACTATGTGGCCCACTGGTAGTTCCACCCCACCAGTCTTAACTACTATCCCTCTCTTTACTACCATCTGGCCAACACACACACACACACGAAGAGGTGGTTGCAATGCTTTCCTAGAAATGTCGGGTAAAGTAAATATGAGTGCAAACACACACACACATACGTAGTAAAACAACAAATCCCAATGCTTAGTAAGCTTGCCTTAGTGAGTACAGTCCAAAATAGCAGGCAGGGAGAGAGAGAGTAGGTCAGGCAAAGTTTGAAGGTCAAAATTGGGTAGAAAGTTTGTCAGCCAGTCCAGGTCTAGAGTTGAGTTCTTGAGGTTCACAGGTCCAGAATCAAGGTGCATGGAGCAGGAGTTAACAGATGTTTGTTGTCAACAGAGAAGTTGAATTTGCTGCTCCATTTTAATAGAAGCAGCCCTGCTGTAGCTCATTTAGCGGGGTGAGACTCCTTCCTCATGAGTAATCTTGCAAGTGCCTTTGCTGTACTCTTTGCAGCTTGCGTTGGGAGGGTGAAGTAATTCTGCTCCTTCATTTTTGGAGAGTGGTATTAGCTGTGTCTGCTGATTGCTAGCCAGACCCACCTCCTCAGATGGCAGCCTGTCCAGTGCTTCTGGAGTTGATGACTCATTATCTGTGGCCACTTCTAGAGCAGACTGCTTGTTGGTCTCCTCCTCTGACTCCAAATCTGAGCCCACCATGATAGATGTCCTCCATGTAGAGGAGGTAATTCCACTCTTGAACTTATATCTGTATCCAGTCCTTGTGATTATCTGGCTGAGGGAGTTCAAGCCTATGCAGAACAGCAGCAGGGACTGTGCATCACTGTTCTGATTCAGGTTGCGCGCGCGCACACACACACACACACACACAGTTGCTAAGGAGTTGAATTATTTACCACAGCTAGGCAGATAACAGTAGACAAGGTTGTAAATCAGGGTCTTTGTAAAGAGTGCTTGCCTGAATAATTCGACTGAAGTTCAAGTAGCAAGAGAATAATCCAAATTCATTCCAGGAGTCAGAGAGCTGAGTTGGGTAGTCAGCCAGTCTAATAGTCAAGGATTCAAGAGCAAGGAAACACAGGAACAAGAGTCACAAGCTGGAATTCCAACCAGTTGATTCCAACAAAGGCTGAAGGCAAAGCGGCTACATAAATCTATCTGCAGGCAGCTGGCTGCAATTGCTTAGGCCTAATCCTTTGCCTAGCAAGGAGCCTCACTGAATAGTGTTGTTCTCTTCACCGCTACATGCATCGAGACCTGAGGCTTGGAAGTGGTGACTTGTCATCCAAATGTTCCAGCTGATCAGGAGATGCCTATGGTTGATCAGCCTCAGATGAATTATAGCTTGATGATTCCTGAGGCTGATAATCCACAGGTTCAGTTGGAGCAACGTTGCCAGGGTTGGAATCAGATTCTGAATCGTGGCTCACGACAATCACCTTGGTATATGCTGCACTTAATGGCTACTTGTGTGAGCTATCTTGAGTTGACTTCCAGTGTTGTCTTCCACATTTCCATTGAGTTCTTGAGGAAGGTTCTTAGTGTCCTGTTGACTTTGTATAGTGCCAGGCAGTCACAGATCCATGAGTGTGGCATTGAATTGTACGCTTTCCTATAGTCAATCCTGGCTGTGATCAAATTGACTTATACCAGTTCATTGGTTTGAGTTATGGTGGTTGTAGGGATTGTCTGGAGGGCTCTGTTGACATCTTCTAGCATACTATCTGATGCTACTTCTCCACTGAGTCTTGATAATTGGTCTTGAGGGTTGACTGTAGCTGATTTATCCATGATTGTATGCCTCATATCAGCTGCTGTGCTCTGTAATGGAGGGGGTGGCAGTGATGTTCTAACTTCAGGTGTTGGCTGCAGATCCAGTTGTTCTTCTGGATCTTCTTGAGTCCAGGATGTAATGTGTAGCTGGTCTATCTCAAGTTGTGAGAGCAGCTTCCTCTTTACTATGTTGAAGTGTTGGGTAACTAGCTATTTCTCAGTTAGTGTGGATGTAGGTCTTCTATCCATCCATAATTCCCTCATACATTTCATATAACCCCTTTCATTAGGTCTACAGTTGTAGTAGCATTCCATCAATTCCAGGTTCTTGTCTTGCCAATGCATGGTTTGTTCCAGTAGCCCACTTATTGTCAGATTGTCCTGGTTCCCCAACATCTGGCATGGACCTTGTTAATCTGGGCAATGTCTGAGCCAGCATGACTCTTAGTTTGCATCACTCTCATATCCGAGGTAGGTAGGTGAAGCTTCAGGGGGTCTTTGCCCAAGGACCCCTACTGGTAAGGTAGGTACCAGCCAGGATTTGAGCCCCAGTCTTTTGTGTCAAAGGGCAGTGCTCTAACCAGTAGTGGTTAGAGCACCACCCTTTGACGCAGGAGACCACACACAGACATGTTTTGTCAATTCAGAGACTTTATTCAGGTCACAGTGTTGATCTTAATTCAGACAAAACTAAAATATTTAGCATAAAGAAATGGTTGCTTGAACAATGAAGCAAGAGATGATGCTGTGGCTGCTGGAGAAGGCAGGCTAGAAGTAAACATGACTGAACACTGGTAACAGCTTTGTTAGAGCCTGCAGTATGGGAATAAGGTAGCATCAATACTTCTCCAACCTTACTCCATTGGCAGAATGGGCATTTGCGAGCTGGCTTCATGCCATGCCTGGCTCCTTTGGGAAGCTTTAGGAAATATGAACAGTATTTAGGAGGTGGTCAATGCCTTTCTATGGGAGAAGGAGGTACATCCCCTCCCGAACAGGCCTTCCCTGGATCTGGCCATTTTGGATATGAACCACCTAGTGTAGGGAAAGTTGTTGAGCCAGGGTTAGCTTTGGTTATGGAATGAAAACCACATTGGTTGCTCTGGTGAATGGATTTCACCTGGGTTTGGATGTTGGAAGAAAGCCCTCTTAAGACTCACAGCTGCCTTCGACATATCATTCCTGACATCCTTACAAACCGCCTGTGAGTTCGTGGGAGTGTGGGGAGCAGTGCAGTGGTTCCACTCCTTCCTAAGCAGACAGTTCCAGTCAGTATGGTGGGGGAAGGAGAGGTTGATCCAGCAGTTGCTCTCTTTGTGGTTCATTTATCTCTCTCCCTTGCTCTCTAACATCTACAAGAAGCTGCTGGGTGAGGTCACTTATCAGTACAGGGTGATATACCATCGGTGAACCTCTGACATGCAAGGAGAAATATTATGATCTCAGACCCATCAAAATGATATGACAGGAAACTTGCAAATGGGAACAATCAGTGGAGGTAGTAACTAATTAGTTTGTATGGATGGAACTTCTGTGGGAACCAGAAGGCCATATGGGGTACTTTTGACTGCAGCATGATACACAATAGTTGATGAAAGTCAATTATGGTGTGATATAATGGAAAACTCAGTGCATGGCAGTTACTTTCGTAGTAAAATGAAGTCTCTAGAAGTTGCTTATGTGAAATCACCAGTTAATTAATATTAGGAAATAAATACGGTAGGGAAAGCATGTAGAGTATAATTTCTTGAATACTTTCCAACCCCTTTACCAAATTTCCTGGTAAATTAGTTATGTGTAATGAAGCAACATGTTGTGTCTTTATGTATGTGCATTTTCTGCTCTCCCCTCATGATCCATCTAGTTTGTTTGTTTGTTTATTTATTTATTAAATTTATATGTCGCCCATCTCTCCCAGAGGGCGCCTCTGGGCCTAGTTTGTGCCTATGTGTGCTCTTTCTGGAGCACATGACCAGGAGGAAAGAGGGATCTGAGAATGAATCAATCAGCAATGTTACAAGCCACTGCTCGATTGCCTCTCCCAATAGAGATGCACTGGGAGAATTTTTTCCTGGAACAACCCCTGGCCTCATCTGGCTTGCTTTCAAATTCAACCTTTCTTTTGCCAGCTTCTCCCCTATGCCCAATTTGGTGTTATTCAGTTCAGTTTTCAGAGAATTATCCTTCCTACAGAGAATTCTGAGCCCCTTTTCATCATTCCAGTGACTGGAAACAATAAAAATGAGACTGAACAAACCTGGACAGTATATGGATCTAATGCTTGCACCTTAGGAGACTGGATGTCCGCAGGTCTTGAGGGCCTGGTGATGACTTCTACCCAAGAACTGCTGTTAATGCCACCTTGAAAAGTGCTTGCCAATATTCTGTATTCATATTTTTTCCAAGGGCTAAGACCAGTACTTTGATCTAGATACCTCTTGGAACAATTGAAGGGCAAAGAGGCTACTGTAGATACTTCTGTTCCTTTCACTCTTCTTTCTATTGTAAAGTTTTCAACCAGTCCATTTGGATGAAGAGGAGATTGCCATGATACTAGCACAGATGTTGGTGTGTCTGAGTATAGTTCTGGAGCAGGGATGTCTTCAGGTGCATCTGGAAGGGTCTGTATAGGTGGGGCCTCAGAGGATAGAGAGCACCCTTTGGAAGTGCAGCCTTCTACTTGAAATCGGTAAACTGTATAAGGATGCAAGAAAGATACAATACATTTTGATCTAGCTCCTGGAATAGTAGTGTGCAGCTGGCTGTTTTGGTAGATGTTATAGTGGGTGACACTGCCATTTGGCCTTGAAGGAGGCTGCCAGGAGATGGTTGCTGCTCTGGATTTCACTTCCAGGATTAGTGGTGGGTCTATAGATCCTGGTTCTACAAGAGAGGAAGAGCAAAAAGGAAAAGAAAAGAAAGAAAAAAGAAAAAAAGAACAAGGTCATTGTTTCTAATGTGCAGCCATTTCCTTTTTTTTTTTTTTTAATGTGTGTTATAATGCACAAATGAAACTGTTTCACCAGAAAATACCTTTGTTTCTTCAAGACAATATGAGAAATGGAGGGAAATATCACCCACAACTTCCCTTTATTGTAATGAATGCAGTAGCAAACAAACATTACAAAACTATTTATTCTTTGAAAGCTATCACTTAGTTCTCAGTTGAATTGAGAATCCCATTGGTCTCATTTTCTAATAACATTATGCCACAATGTAATTTGTTCAATCTGGGCTTAGTACCCCATCCATTATGGTTTAGCAGTATGTAAAACCAGCCCCATGGTTAATCCTGGCTTAACTCAACCACTATAGTCAGTGTTTCTACAGAGTATTAACTTAACCCACTTTTGCAACAATTTAGAGGAATGCATTATGGATTCTGCTAGTGGAAGGCATTCCTTAGGGACACTGCTCAGAATACTGGCAGAAGGCAATTCTGATTTCCCTTTGTAATTCCCAACTTCCATGAGCAGATTTTAGGGAAAGATGAAGGACTGCAGGGACAAGGGATAGATGGGTGAATGTTAGCTCCTCTCCCATTTATCCAGTGAAAAAGTTCTATTGAATCAAAAGCCTCCCATGGGTAAGAAGACCCCTCCAATAGTGAGAAGCTTTAGCTGAATACAGACCCTTCTAATTAAAAATTAACACTGTGTACTTCCTCCCGTAATTAAAACAAGGCCACAAGTAAGGAAGGTCAAGTGTTCAATAGTGGTACACTACTAACATGAATTGCAGTGGAAAAATAGCACCAGAGAAGAGCTACTCCTTGCTTGCCTTCTAGTGTTAGATTCTTTAAAGGCCAGTCTACATGAAATATCATGCCTAAGTGGAAGTTTGACATGGTGCAGCAGAAAACTTCCCAGATGTTTCAGTTTTAATAACATCTTAATGTACTATTTCTGATATCAAAGTATTATATGTATATTTAGCTTTCTTCCCCAAGCTTAATGGGAAAAGGGCCATTCAGATATTCAGGGCATCTCAAACAAACATTTGATTCCTTGGTCTCAGTCTTAAAAACAGGGGCTGCCTTCATGGCACTGGGCCAGTACTTCCTAGTTATATTAGCTACTAGGGCTGTGTTTGCTTCAAACATTATTTGGAAGAAGTGTTTTGGACCAAGCACAGGCATAGCACCTTTCTCCTGTCCATTAAAGTAGCCTGACCTTTTTCAGGCTTCTATGCAAGCTTGAAAAAAGATGTCAGAACTAGGCTAAAATATATGAGAGAATTTCTCTCAAGAGAATTTCCCTTGTTCTCTTCCATCCTGTTCCCCCAATTAGATCAGAGGAGCAGCCAAACCCTTGGGAGAAGATGGTGGGCAGAGAGGGCAGGTGGAAGAGAAAAACAGCTTGCCTCCTATATCCACTCCACGGCCAGATGGACTTATCTGGATTAATTCATTACTTTATGGGGAATGTGGAGCTGGGCAAGAATCATGGTTCTAACTTTTGCTGCTATTTTTCCAGAGCACACTCTTAATTACTTTCATCATCCCATTGTAACAAGCCTGCATATTTCATAGCCCAGTAAAACCCATTCCTGTGCTTCTTGTTATATATGCAATATTTTTGCTCTCTTCTGTTTATCATTCTAATCCATTTTTTGCAATTTATCTACTCCCTGTTAATATTGTAGGTGATTTTTTACTGTGACTGTGACAGAAGCTGCCGATTTAGCTCTTTCACCTACTGATAAATAAACAATGCACAGATCTGACCTTTAGGTTAACAGGTTTTATGCTTGCTCCACTCAGCACTCTAACAGATTCAATTATCATAAAGGTTCAGGAGCTTCCATGAATACTGAAAAAGACGGACCATATGCCCGCATAGGTGTCGCGGAACAGCAAATACTCTGCAACTGCCCCCCCTCGAGAAATCCCTTAATTGTAAATAATTTCACCATGCGACACAATCAAGTCACCTTGAATGCAAAACCCCTCAGCCTGTGGAGGCAAAACGTTATTTAAGCTTTAGTGGGCTGCGTTAAATTCTGCAATTTGAAGGGCTGTTAAGTTTTTCAATTGAAATTTCATTTAAAATGCAGGTGCTTTTTATTATATTGAGGCTTTACTGCTCTCTAGGTACAAGCAAGAACATGGTGCAAAAACACAAATCTGGCTCAATCACTGATCGGTAACAGCTGTAATTCCAGAACATTTAGCATTCTTATAAACCATCTTGTGAAATCTATAAATTGTTGCAAGAGATCAAGAAAATACTATGCCTACCTATTCTGCCCACAGCATTTTTGGTGTTTATGAGATTTTGGATGAACGTTAGATTTTATTGAAAATCTTTTAAAAAGACATACTTGGGTACAGTAATCATTTTAAATAGCTTTCAAGGCTTTTTTCAGTTTCATAGAATCGGATGTTCACATGTTCAAAGTCAACAGTGCCAGGGACCTTGAGTTACATTCTATAGCCAATTGGGACAGGGACCAAAAAAACCCACAAAAACCCCTAGTCATGAAGTATTATATCAGTATCTACTTTTTCTCCTGCTAAATCAGCTTATGTCCTGCTTGTGACAGCAATTACCCCTATGTGAATTTTTGTAAATCAATTGCTGTGAAGATAGAGGCTTCTAGGTAAGTGGTTCTTTAGGTTGCAAAATTATGTATTAGAATGTGGTTAAAATGTACAGGTAATGTTCAAAATTATTCAATAATTTTTATGAAGTATTTGAATCTTCATATTTTTATTAGGATAGGTTTTTTTTTTCATTTCCATAGTTCAAAAAGGATATCTAGATTTAAATAATTTTGAAAAAGAATTTTAGATGAAAAGAAAACATCTTGTTAAGATTTAAGGTACAGAAGGTGATAGTGATTTTTGGAAAGTCAACTTAAATCAATTCAGCTTTCAAGATTCATTTTCTACAGGGCTGGTCAACAACACTTTACTAATTAGGCATCTGTCTGGACAATTGGACTGCAGCTATCTGCAGGAAGAAAATAACCAAGCACTTTGTTTTCTCTTATGATAAGAAAGATAAGGTTTTCATCCCTACTGCTAGCATTATAGGTATAACATTTGGGATAATGAGATGAACTTGTATTACAAACCCCTGCAGAGTTTAGACATAGCCCTTTTAACATTATCTGTTATAACTTATGAGAAGAGAGGCTTAACTTAATTTTCTACTTTGCCCCCCCGAAAAAAAACATTAAAATGAAAGAATGCCTTTTCACATTCATTTTCTACAGCCCCTTTTTAAAAATGGTAACACTTAAAAAAATAACTTAATTCAAACATGTCACACCCTTGGCCTAGGAATCATTTTCACATATGAAAGAGGAATGCGATGAGGCGCTTATTACAGCAGATGCAGAAAAGCCAAGTTTTAGCACCAGCTGTGAGGCAGAACCTTGTTCCATTGCCCCTGACTGTTGTCTGTGAAGACTACAACTGTGAACCGTAGATCCAGCCTGCTAGACCATGGGAGCTCTGCCACAACCACCTTTGTTCAGGGAGTTAGAGAGCGGCAAGAGGGAGGAGTGTGTGGTTATAAGATTTGCTTAGGAACAGGCTGATATCTCAAATAGACTACTTCTGGGAGTCAGGTCCGACAAGGCCAGCTGTGCTCAGGTTGTGCCTGGGAGCTTTCCCTATTTAAAGGACCCACCTGAGTGATGTTTGGGGCTGGAATAGCTGTTTGTGAGAGCCTGACCTTGAGGGCCCTGTATCTTGGATTAAACCAAGAAAGCCTGTCCAGAAATCTCTACCCTTCCCTGGAACAGATGAAGTGAACTGTCCTACTTGGTTGCTGGTAAGGACCCTCTGTTATATGAAAGTGGATGGAAGACGTTCACTCTTGCACTGATTTTGAACTACCTGTTACTGGACTCTAGTCTGAGTGGCCAAACAAACAAGACTTTGGAGAACTTTGAATTGGCCCTGCTGGAAAAAGAAGAGTTAAAGTTTTATCTCATGATTGTGTTATATGAATGAATACTTTGGCAGTCTGTCTCTCTCTCTGTCTGTGAAGACACAATCAGCTAGCATGATCCTGCTTAGCTGGCGGGGTCACCACAATTATGTAAAACACAACTATTAACTATAATTGGAGTAGTTTGCTAATATAATAAAAAGCTCTGAATATGAAAAAAGGTATGCTCCCAGCAGCAGCAATCACTTTTAAAGTAAGAATTCATGGGTGAAATGACATGAAAAAGATGGTTATAAAATTTTAATGGAATGATAAAAGGCAAAAGTCAGCCTCTCAGCTGAATTCTTAAAATCTCTATATATCACAATCAGCTCCTTAACTGTAAAATCAATGTGGAATAGAACGTGTTGTCAATGTGGTTGTCATTGGATGGAAGCCTGCAAGAGTCTGACAGTGACACAGCCTCGCCTGCCAGGGCTGAAAATAAAATAATAAACTCCTGTTACTTAGTCAGAATTGTTTATAGAGCCAACTATAGCAGATGAGGAGTGGAAGGGGAGGGGCATATCGCTTAGTGCCTTTGATTGATTCCTCAGGCTATTTCATTACAACATTAATACTGGAAGGTAGTTTCATTTTGCCAAATGAAATTATCTTTTATGGGAGGCTATTTTGCTTGTCTGCTTCAAAAGTTCAGACTCTATTTAAGAAAAGGAGGTATAAAATTATCATTAATCTTTTCTAATCATCTGACTAGAGACAAGTGTTTATTTACTTACTAGTACAGTATTATCTTCTGATGGCCAGGCACGATGGGAATCATAGAATTTCTTGATATATGCAGTGGGCAACAGAAATAGATTATTGCATTTTAAAGGTAATGAGAGTTGCATGCTTTCAGAGGTCAGGGAGAACATATCTGTAAGGGACCAGTGTTTAGTGAACTTTCCAGAGCAGAATCATAAATTTAATCAAACTTTGAAGCTAATAGAATCTAAAATGAGTTCCAGACAATTGCCACTTCTACAGTTAAAAAATTAAAACAACAATAACAATAATACTTAATATTTAAGGACACCATCCAAGTATGGCTTTTGAAAGAGTCCTTGTTTGTTTTTTAAAGAGCTGTTTAACAGGCTGACATTCAGCTGACATTTTTCTATTAACAGTGTTATCAGAGGAAAAAAAAATGTCTACTTGTCTTTTTGGAACAAAGACATTAAAAACCCAATGTCGGCTTGGAGGGAGTGGTTCACAAGACAGGTACCACGGACAAAGGCAGAGCATTCTATTGTCCCTGACAGATTTCACTGGATGGGCTTGCTTTTCTGCCTCCAATAGCCATTACGTTTATTACATTTCCAAAACACCCAACAAATTCAGTTCCTGAATTCCATTGTGGTGTGCGTTCAGAGCAGCGGTTCTTAAACTGGGGGTAATTACCCCCTTGGGCACAGCCTGGGGGTAATGGAGCAATTTGTAATTGCTTGTTTGTGAGTCAAGGACCCAGTTTGGGACCACTGCTGCCAAGACACTTGTGTTAAGCAACAGAGTCTGGGTTTTGTGTTTTTTGGGGGGAGGGGCTGTGGTAATGACATTATTTAAAACCGGGAAAGGGATAATTGGGTTAAATGGTTTAAAAGCCACTGGTTTAGAGAGCAAGAGCGAGACTGAGCCTTTATCCTGTAGGCACTATGTAGAAAATATAAAACAGCATAAACCCTAACACCAATTTTGTCTATATGGATGCAAATATTCTACACTCCCAAGTCTGAGGACCAAGTCATTACATCTTAATTTATGTTAAATCATTATAATGTTGATTTAATTGCTTATATCTAGTAGAGGGATACAAAACCTTTCTTGCGTCAAGGGATATACGTGGATGTTGCAGAATTAATCACAAGCTTAATGGGGATAGAGTGGGGTATGGAAAGTAAGGCAGAAATTGCCCATGAACAGAATAAAAGCATTTTTTAAAAAAAATCTGCTTTTTTAAAAAAAATCAAACCTTTCATCCATCTCCCCACCTCCCATCCCCATCTAGGCTTTAATCTTAAATTATTTTAATTTTTACACATTCAGGCAAAATCAGCAATGAACTGAGGACCAGACAAAACGTCTTGAAGTGGCCTCATTTGGGATTATGCATAAATTATAAGGCACATTATAAACCTATCACTGCTTTTTGTATAGCTCTCAGGCTGCAAGCTGCTCCTGGAGAAAAGTTCATGAAATGGAGTCGCTGTTCATTCCCTGGAAGTAGATTTTTTTTAATGTTTTTTTTTTTTTTTTAGATTTTTTTGTATCCCACCTTTATTATTTTTATAAATAACTTAAGGCAGCAACCATACCTAATACTCCTTCATCCTCCTATTTGCCCCACAACAAGTTGGGTGGAGAGCGTGACTGGCCCAAAGTCAACCAGCCAGC